CCAATATGTCAATCATGCCAGGCACGGTAAACGTTTCAGTCGATTGCGGGCCAGAGTGGTAGCACTTATCCTCAATGACACATAAAGGCTGAAGTTCGAGGATTCCAGCTTCCTTTAAACAACAGCATCCTATGACAACAGGTTGTCAGATTAGCCAGACCCGATCGTACACAGCCATTTCAAGTAATTTCACTTGTGAAGGCAAAGATGTTGACTCAAACAAACAACTGTGCGAATAAAAACAATGGTGTTGTGTTTCACACTGCCATAAAAGTGACAAAACCCTAAACCCTGATTCATCCCGGCCTCATTTATTCATCGTACATTCAGAGAAATGGTACGTCCTATAATCACTATACATTTCCAAAGCGATTCAGTTAAGTGAATAAAATAATGGTGTCTTTCAACTGGTGAGTTTTTCCTTTGTATTTGGATCTCGTTTACTTTTCAAATCCAACTCTGGGCATCCAGTCGATTCGATTCGGTTGTCTAAAAGTTTCTACTCTAACCTACTCATGAGTAGTGATGTGGATTAGCATATTATTGATGGTGTAGGATCAGGATTCAGACATATTTCTGAGACACATTCTTTATTGATCCGCGCATTCAAAAGCATCCGGCACCCATCATGTGCTTAAGGGTCATTTTTGTTACACATTCAAGATTTTGGTTTGTTTACACGACAATCGCTTACGACAAGACCGTAGCACTTATCAAAATAATAAATTCTGTTGTCAGAATCAAAGACACCGTAACCGATATCATTGTGGACCCCCTGCTACTTGACGCGCACGTGTCTGGCTACTAAACGGAAGAAGTAAACAAAAACAACCGTTTTACACCTTCAGTTACAGGGGCAATCCATCAAGAACTGGTTTATTCTCAAGAAGTGTGTCAGAACAACAATTTACCAGTCTTGTCAAATTCATGTTGATTCTAGTCTCACCCGGTGTGATGCTCCACGGTCCGAAATCAACACACGAAAAACCTGTTAATTCTGTATTTGTGGATCACAACAACTTGGTCCGGAAATGTCTAAGGAAATGATATTACCGGTACACTCTGGGGGCACAAACCGACAAAAAAAGTGAACAACTGCTGCAATTTGATAACGCACAGGGGGAGAGAAAATTGTGCAAAAGTGAACTGTGTTCATGTTAGTGGTCAAGGGAACAACTCTGGCTATAACTTTCGTTACCTTTGGTTAGCATTCCTTTTCCTAGTGCTGACCGGTTCTGTGCACGATTACGTAACAACCGTAGGAAAGGGACGTGCTACTTTGCGACCAAGTGATTCATAGAGGGGGCCACTTAATCTCGAACAGGAAAACCGAAACATCCACACTGCCAGCTACTTGCTCTGTGTTCTTATTTATTTTCTGATAGTCCTGGATATACCTGTGAACTAACGCCCAAATGTGCCGACAGAGATCCATTACTCAGTAACTGAAAATAGTTACCGATATCTAAATTTTAATAAAGTTTGCCCCCGTTTTTCCTCCGCTATTGAGTTCTGTTTTGAAATCTTCATTTATTTCATTTGAACAAATAAATGTCCCAGATTTAAGTTTGAAAATTGACCGAAGCGAATTTATCTTTAAAATGTTGAGTACAGGAGGTTGTTTTCGGAGAAAATCGGTCCCCATGCCGTCTGAGGTTTACCGATACTTCTTCTTTAGGATTGAGCTTTAGTATTCAGTTCTGGGCCAAACCGAATCCCCTCACGGAGCTCTTTGATTGACTGTACAGCACATTATTCCTCTCCGATTTCTCTGGCTTATGGTGTTTACTGTATGGTGAACATTGGAAAGATTTATTCGTGACCACCGGTATTCTGCTTGAAGCATGATATACGCAAATAGTGTGCTTTTGATGTCCACATTCACCCGTTGACAGTTTTGCTCTTGGTAGAAAAGTGCCCGTGGGTGGTGGCTGACGGATGGCTCTGGTTTCCATCATCCCACCCCGGGATGTCGTTTGTCAGCACAAACATCAATACTTCTTGCACTCATTTGACTCACCTGATGTACACACTCATTTGATGCATTTACAGTTTTTAAACAAAATTCCTGATTTGAGCAAAATTCTGAGGACTAGGGGACAGAAATCAGATTGATCGACCACATCACTTCTTACTGGAGTTCTATGCCTCAAGTTCTTTTGGTTGTTCCGTCGATGGCATCACCTGCCTAACCGTTCCATGTTTGCCGAGATATTCACCAAGCGTAAGCACTGTAACAACCAATTTAAAAGTGGCCCTCTTTTGTACTCAGTCTCACATTTCCCTCTTCTTTGATGCATGTATACCGTCTTTCGCTGCTCTGTCTGTCGGCAGCGTTTTGATGACTTTGACCTTAACGCGTCCAAATAGCTCGTTATCTCGTTCGGTTTAACATTCGCCCAACCGACACAAGAAATGATTCATTTTTAGACAGGGCACTTATCAATCACCCGGAAATGTTTGTTTTGAAATCCACAGCTCATATCTCCAAAATAATCGGTGGAGAAGAACGCATATATAGACGAACTATGCCACTTCACAAGCACCGGTAATGTCACTTCGGCTGGTGATGAAACATTTGCAAACATATTGCCAAGAAATTCTTATGCTTTTGTGTACCACGGGAACCACATCCAGAGTTAGTTTCAGTGGTATTTCATCTTACGTTTTTGAAATGGAACACATTCTCTGAGTGAAATAATAGCGTCATTTCTAAACACTTACCTAAACACCTATTTTAAGCCAGGCTGCTGAAAACAACAAACAATATGTCTCATTCCCAAATCCTCTAACTGCACCGCTCTCACCAAGAGCTACCTTCTTACCGTTATAGCTTCTGTATA